TAAAATGTACATTTTTACATAGCACATCTAGGAATGTTTTTGCATGCTGAGTTTGATTTGTCATACATTAGATGTTTGTCTTGATGGATTAGCTATCTTGGTGAAGCCATTAGTTAAGGGGAAAAGGCAAATCTTTTTCAAGATGCTAGTAGTAGTAAGTAATATCTGTGGCCTTGTAGGGCCCAGCACCTTGTAGGCTGATGTCGTCTTGTCCACTGACAAAGTGAAGAGCCCTGTGTCATGTAGCTATTTGCCAAAGGGGTTTTACATGGACACTGGCTGATTGAAGTTCCTTTTTCTTATAGCAGAGGGAGAAAGATTGCAACACTTTCTTGACCTCAACTCCTAGACATCGTCCTGTCCTAGTTCATGCTTTTAAACAAATGGTACTTTTTTATTTTTTATGTAGCTTTTGTAATTGTTTTTGGCAGGGAAGTTGGTCTTATAAAAGCTATTCTATCAAGGATAGAAGTGGAAATAAGTAGAATAAAATTGTGAGATGGGTGTTGCATTACATATGAAGTACTTCTAGATTTGTTTATCGAGCTAACTGTACAGATAAAAAGTCAAGTGCAAAAGCAGTCTGACCCTTTCCCAGCTCTGTGAAAACAGCAATGAAGAAATGGTCCTATCATTGATTACTCCTTCTCACCACCAACCCTCCAGTCCATCTAGCTTATGAAGGTTCTCACCCACTTCAGGTGAGCAACTCCTGAAAGAGAACCATAAATTTAGAGATTAAAATGTAACATATCTCTGGTGATGAAACTCAAATCTCTTTAGTAAATCCAACGTTTGACCTCAGACATTAGGCTTTCAGACATGCTTTTCAGAACACTGTATTTAAAATGCCTGTATTTTGCTTAAAAAGGCAAATAGAAGCAGCCACTAACTTTCTACCTTTGGTGAGCTGTCTTCAATAGATAAATGACTAATGTTGTATTCATACAGACTACATTTTGGTTAAAAAGCCTGGAATTAAAATATTATTTTTAGGTTATTTAATATTTTTTTTCTCTTGGGATGATTTTATCTCATCTGTACTTTGACATTGTATTTTAACAAAGAGGTTCCTATTAGAATCTATTATGAAAATGCTATTATGAATTCCTCCTGATAGTGCTAATAAGTAACAAACAGAGATTTAGCATGATATTTAGCAAATATTTTCATATATAACATGTATATATCACAGGTTTATTGTGAATATATGCATGCATATCTTTAACATATGTACACATAGACATGCAGGTGTGTGCATGTATAACTTATTTTTCTTGATGGTAATTAATCATACGTACCACAAACATTTAATATATAAATGACTATTTAGTATTACTAATTTAAATAGCCACACTCAAGTTTGTGGGTTTTTCCCTTCTTCATTGTTACCTCTCTGGTGTGTGTATAATCACATTTTAGTGTTATATTATATGTCATTTAATTATAATTATTATGTGCACCTTGACAGTCTCACATTAAAAGACAAAGGTATAGCTTTTGTGCTACAACATTGGTATCTCCCTTACCCACAGTCATCTCCCATGGACTTAAACGTTCTATGCTTTGTTCAAACACTTTAGCCGTCACACAGCCAGTTAATGGTAGAGCCAGAGATCATATGAAGAGTTCTTAACCCCACATCTAGTATTTTCATACTCAAAAATTTATAATTGATACTTTCATTTTAGGGAAAAAAAAACAGGCACTTTTCATATGACTCAGTATTTCCACTCCTAGAAATCTATCCAAGAAAACTGAAAGCATATGTCCACTAAAAGGTTGTACTTAAATGTTCATAGCAATATTACTCATAGTAGACAAAAACTGGTAACAGCTCAAAATATCTTTCAACAGATGAATGAATAAACTAAATGTGTGGCTATCCATACAATGGCATACTATTCAGCACTAAAAAGGAATGAAATACTAATTCATGTTCCGACGTTAATGAACCCAAGCAACTTTATGCTTAGTGAAAAATCAGACACGAAAGATCACATATTACATGATTCCAGTTATATGAAATGTCTAGAAATGGGCATTTATAGAAAGAGAAAGCAGGGTTGCTGGAAGTGGGGATTGACTGACTGCAAATGGCTTTAAAAGATTTTGGGGAGGGGGGTGATGGAAATAGTGCAGGACTGGATTGTGGCAATGGTTACACAATTATAGAAATTTACTGTAGATTATTAAACTGTAGCCTTAAAATGAGTGAATTTCATAGCTTATAAATTGCACTGCAATAATACCAAAAGGGGAGGGGCATTAAAAATTCACTCTAGCGCTATTTATTTACTCTGAAGATTACATTATACGTGCCTTTGTTTTGTAATTCTTATAGGTAGTAACCTTTCTTCAAAAACAATAAAATCTGCTTACCTGGTGTGGCTCAGTGGTTGAGCGTCGACCGGTTTGATTCCCGGTCAGGGCACATGGCCAGGTTGTGGGCCCCAATCCCTCGTGCAGGGCATGCCGGAGGTGGCCAATCAGTGTTCTCTCTCATCAGTGTTTCTATCTCTCTCTCCCTCTGCTTTCCTCTCTCTCTCAAATCAGTAAAAAAACAACAGCAATAAAATCTGACCTAATTTTTTGACATTTCTCTTAGCCTAAATTAAGGAGATTAGTTTCTATATTAAACTTACTAATATCATAAATATATATATGTATATCTCCCCTGCAAGATTTGCTTCATGTCCTATACAATGTAGTACAGTTGAAACTTAACAGTACTTGCCAGATTACCAGCAATTCTATTTTAGCTGTGAAGTAGCCTGACTGATAATAAAGATAAAGTTCTCTCTCTCTCTGCTATTCAGTCACTTCCTAATATATCTTCTCTGTTTGCTCTTAACCATTTGAGCTTTGTGCTTACTGAGGGTCAGTTGTACTTGTTTTCAAATCTGTTTATACCAATTGTACTACTACTTGTTATTACGTAATTTAATATGTGTAAACCAATAAAATGGTGTGGAAAGCAATAGAATTTGTTCTTTGGCAAACTAGATCAAATGTTTTGAAAAGACTTGACAAAGATAAATCACTAAATACTGGTTTGAATTAGGTGTGGGTAATTTAAAAGATTGGAGTGGAAATTGTAAGAATCTAAGAGAATTTTACATTCAGATTGCTTGCTCATGCTCCATCTTAATGAAACGAGAAGAAGAAATGTTAGGCAATGTATTATGTATGAGTATGTGTAAGAAAGACAACTTTGGGATCTAATTACAGGACTCCTTCAAAGAAAGCCGATATCTCAGTGCACATTTTTATATATTTTAGATTAAAATGTTTAAGATGCAGGTGTGTGTGTGAATGCTTATTTAATGCCCTATTTTATTACATGTCTTCAATTAACCAACTAGTTACTGGTTTTGATCTGTATATGGTACTTTTTTCCTACCACAGAAAATTTATATTCAAAAGTGTAAAAATAAAATTTATAAATAATTTATACTGTAATTAGAGTGGTTATTTGCACAATAAAAAGGATTATTATTGATTTTTAAATTATTAGATTGTGCCAGTTTTTAAGTGCAACTCTTTTATACTAAAAGTGAGCCAAAATCTGAATGACAGGAGGAAAGGTAGAATTTGAGGGGCATGAGTGTTAAGAGTAAGTAGCTTCAGTGCATAGGAAACAGTGAGAGCCATCAAAAAGGAGGTGGGAGGTGTTCAGGGGAATCTTGGTATTTAAGATCTTGAGGATGGTAGTGTGACGCCTGAGAACTTGTCATAGAAATTAACAATGAAAATTTTGAACTCACAAGTTGATGTCAGGTGTTCACCAACGATGCTAATAAAAGAGCAACTTTCCTTGCATCCATTAGGTATGTACCATTATATAAGATAAATCAAAGACGATTGGAGGTATGATATCATATGAAGGGAGTACTAATGGAGAATATAGTAAAAATTGGTTGCAAGGTTAATTAATATATTTTAGTTGCATTGCTAATATGGTAGAATTTCTGTTCCTGTTCAGCTTGTAGCTTTGATGTTGCCTGTAATGAGTGTTCCCATTAAAAGAAATGGTACAAATCTTCCTTATCTGTTTGTTTTTGCTTTATAGCTTGTAAAATTTGCTAAATCTAAGTACTGTAGTACTTTGAGTAGTAAAAACCATCTAAAATGTAAAAAGAAAATTAAAAGACCACAGTTTGAAGTCGTTCTTAACTGTTCTTGAATTACAGGTGCCTTTAAGAATCTGGTGAAAGCTCTCATCTCTGTTTTCAAAGTACTTATATATGAACAGACAATAATTTTATAATTTAAAAACAGAAAGGAATTATTTTACTAATCCTTTAGTGAGTTAAAGAACAGTAGTTATTTCTATGTATTTTGATTTAAATATTGACTTTTAAATAATGCCCAAAATAGGGCTGTTATAGCCAATAATTTTGGGTTCTTGTGCTCTGTAAAGTGAGACACTGTAATCATGTTGGTAAGAACTTGAAAATAAGATGACTACTATTGAGTAATCAGTTTGAAATGACAGTAACTGGGAGTGTTTTAATTATGTAATTTTTAATGCTGCTCTATTACAAACCTTAGAGCCTTTTAATATTTACCAGTAAGCAATCATTTTCAGTCATTTGAATCTGTATTTCATTCAAGTAGAGTATTTAATAAAGTAAGAACCATGTTTGGGTATAGTATGGCTGTGGAGAGAGAGAAAGATTTGGCTACCTCTTCTTTGCTTTCTGCTTACTGCCCCTCCCTGGATGTGCGCTTGCTTTTTTTACCCCCCCCCCCTTTTTTTAGGGTAAATGGGCATCGTTTGTTTCAGTAACAACTGAAATATGTAAATTGTGAAGTCTTTTATATAACTTAGGAGGTAGTAGAAAATTCCATATTGCTTACGATAGTTTGAAGTGTTTCTCACCCGAAAAATTGACTGCTTATGGAAAATTTTATTTCCTTTGCTGTTGTAACTTACAATGATTTATTATGTCTGCAAGAGTTGTACTCATGATTATATGATTTTGTTTTCACTTCAGGACCGTGTATATGTACAACAAAATAATGTGGAGAATGTCTACAATTTGGGATTAATTATTTTTCGAGATCAAGTTGTACGTTATGGGTGTATTAGAGATCATCTACGACAAACATTATTGGATATGATTGCAAGAGAGCGGAAAGGAGAAGTTGTAGACCGGTATTAATCCTCTTTTAACTAACTGGGTTTTGGTTTTTAGCAGTTACATCCTGAGAACTAATTCACTGTCAGAATTTTATTAAAATAAATGAAAGTTTGATTGTCTAACACATTATGAAAATTCTCAGAAACTTTTGTGTCACAGTTAACAAAGTTACATTGATGTTAACTTAAAAATATACTTCAGTTATTAGACGAGACCATCCTAAGCTTTTGTTTGACTCCTAAGCTTTTATTTGGTGTACTTTTTTTTAAAGCAAATCATCCATTAGTCTTCTCATTTGATTTTTCATGTGGGTTTTTCTTTTTTTTTGTTTTTGTTTTCTTTTACATTTCACTAAAAATATTTTATTGGCCTTTTGGATAGAAACAGGAATTTATGTGCCAGGAAGGATGATCCCATCATACTTCTGCTGGAACCAGCACATGGCCTTCTCTTTGCTGGTTCCGTGTTTGGCCCCATTGATGCCTGTCCTGTGTTTCTTGACTTTGATGCTGAATCCTGGCCTACCCAGCACCACATAGAAGTTCAGGCTGTAAATACCAATGCTTGGGTCATATTTGATTCCCAGATGGATATGTTTTTGGACCCCAAAACCAAAGTTTCCAGTATTTGAGAGGTTTTTTTTTTTCTTCCGTAATTCATACTCTTGTATGTTTAGACCTTTCTGCAAGATTTCTTCTGCCTTGGCCCCACGGACTGTGTCGTGGACGGCAATCTTCTCATTTGATTTTTATGCTGGCATTTTGTTCTTTTTTTCTGGCTGCATGATAACATTTTTTTTTCTTTATTTTGTCTTTGTCTTTAAGGGCTTTTGGTTAGCCTTCATTCTTAACATATTTAAGAAGAATATTGAACATAGTATAAAACAACTGAGAACTACTGTACTGTTCTGTCATGTTCTTTCTCCTTTCTAACATGATTACAGTGCCATTTTTGTGACACCAGCTAGAGTGGCTTGAAACATGCCGGACTGTTTTCTCTGCTTCTCTATTCATAAAGCAGCTATTAGATGAAGACTTGTAAAGTTTTTTATTTCCACTTTGGTGCTTGCTCAGGATTGCCCAAAAGCCATTTGGTACAAAGGTTTATATGTCAAGCAATACAGCCTCCTTCCCTCCTCCCTGCTTCCTAATAAGCAGCATTTTGAAATTCACAGGGACATTTAGACATCTTAAACATGTTTCTTCAAATGTTTTAAGTTACCACCACATGAGAACAACTTGAGATAAATAACCCGTGCAGCCAAGATATGCTTTCCAATTAAATTACTTTTTAAAACCTCATATTATAAAGAAGCTGCTTCTGGGAGATTGGTCACTTTGATTTAAAAAAATGCTCTGAAACTGTAGCCATTTCTGTTGTATTTTTTACATGAATCTTTGATATAATTTGATTTTCAAGTGACTTTACCTCCTTTTGGACAGAGGCGCGATCAGAAATGCGTGCCAGATGCTGATGATTTTAGGTCTTGAAGGACGATCAGTCTATGAAGAAGATTTTGAGGCTCCTTTTTTGGAAATGTCTGCAGAATTTTTTCAGGTAATCATTGAAGATATAAAATAAGTGCTCTTTTAAGATATTCTTAAAGTTATTGAATGTGGTTACTAATTTGAACATTTTGACCTTTTTTTACTGAGACCCTTGGGGGAAGAGCATGGAAAAAGGTATCCTTTAGCAGACCTACCCCACATTCTCATATTCCTGTGAGGAACTCATGAAAACAAATAGACGACTTTGGACTTACGCACATTGTTTTTTAAATTATATCTTACAAAACACATAACCCCAGAAATAAACGTAACATTTTATTAGATGTATATGAATTATTAGATTTTATTAGAATTATTTACCACAAGTTAGTAAGCAGTGAATCACCAGTGAAGTGTCACTATTCAGGCTCTTGGTAATATAAGTAACTAGTAAAATGAATATAGGAATATGCATGATCCCATAATGCATATATGTCTTTAAGACTGTTTTGGGGGAAATTATAGGTCAATGAGTACAATTCATACAAATTTTCAGCAGTATATACAACCCAAAACCAACTAAATTGCTGAAAGTGAAGCTAAACCCATACTAATTTATAATGAAATGATAATAGCAGTAACTGAGTACCATGATGAATGTAAGAGAGTATTTATAAATAAGGTAATGATAATAACCAGAGTTTATCAAGATGGTCTTGCTAAGATTTTTGTTTCATATTATAATGTCTGTTCTTAGAAATTTGATTATTTTCAAGGACTAAAGCTACTTTTTGTTAAGAAAGTAGGAACAGTTATTAAATTTGTATATAGTTCATATCAACGTGACTTTTACTATGTAGTTCTTACGTATATTCATTAATTCCACTTTCAAATTGGTTTAAATTATTTGGGATAACAATTTAATGGAACCTCTAAAAGGCTGGTGTTGGCAGACAAGATTAATAGTTATTTAAAAGTTCTAGTTTTTCAACTTCAGTATATATACTCCTTTGAGACTGGGAGTGGGGTGGTAGGAGGACTTTAATAACTACAGTGTACCAGCAAAACTATATGATAAACATGATTACTCTTTCTAGGCATAATTTTACAGTAAAACAAATCAAAGAAGAATTTTCCACTTTCACTTGGAGTCAGATGCTTTATTCTGGCATGTGTTTACTTTTTTCTGCTATTTGGAGTACTTTGGCAGTATTTGAAAAACACTGCTTAAGGATAATGTATTAATTTAGTCTAATGTAAGTAATGCTTTAAAGGATATAACTCAGACTGAATACGTGTAAAAAACTAAATAAAATGTTAATAGTACTTATGATAGTTTGGTTTATGATAAACACTATAGAATCCTAGTTTAAAGCAGAAACATATTTTTCTTCTATGTTTTTAAAGAATCATACTTCCTATTTGCAGATGGAAAGCCAGAAATTTTTAGCAGAAAACAGTGCTTCAGTATATATAAAGAAAGTAGAAGCTAGAATTAATGAAGAAATAGAACGGGTGATGCACTGCCTTGACAAATCAACTGAAGAGCCAATTGTAAAGGTGGTTGAGAGGGAACTTATTTCCAAGCACATGAAAACTATAGTAGAAATGGAGAATTCTGGGCTAGTACATATGTTGAAAAATGGAAAGACAGAAGGTAAGTCTTGGCAGTTGAAAAATAAATCCTTATAGTACTGAATTCTCAGTAATTAAAAAAGTTTTTTTTTATAATTAAAATAGGTTATTAATGTCAGTTTTGTGGTGTATATCATTAATTTACTTGTTACTTTGATAGGATAGCTTTATCTCTCTTTCATCTTAAATCTTCTCACTTTGGTTTTTCTTAACCCAGAAGATACATCTAATATTAGTGAGGCCAACGAGCTCCTCATCTATTTCTATACTTTGGTGTTATATGCCCCAGAGGGTTTGGGCTCTGTTCCCAAATATTGTCCTGCAGTTTTTGCGATTCTTTTAAAATCTGATGTTCCAATTTGCTTTCCTGTGGGAGTTCATTGTGCTAAGGATTCCAGAAATGCAAAAATAGGTGCCTTCCCTGTCAGTGTATTTAAATAAATTAGTAAACTGGTTTTGGGGACTCTGAAGTTACAGACTGAGAAAGAAGAAGGGAGAATTGCATAGAAGTAAAAATAAACATTTTGAGATAACTGTAGCATTTACTCATTTTTACTATTTACCTTTATTGTTCCAAAAATAGTATTTTCTAACAGGTACCCTAGAAGAAATAAGTAAACAGCCACGTTGTCCTTGTTCTTAATTTCTAAAGCTTTGCTTTAATACTGTGACTTTATAAATAAATCACTAACATGATATTGAAAAATAAGCTTAGTACTTTTCTATTCTCCTTCTTAGATGAAGTCTTAGCTATATTTTAGCCCCTTCTTATAGAAGAAATATGTATTGCCTATTTGGGGTAATGACCTAGGTAGGGAAAGAAAAGAATTTTTCTGTGAATAATTTTAAGCAAAGGAGGGTGTAAGTAATGGAGAAGAAAGATGGTGAAAGAGAGCTTGTCCCACGTGTCCTCAACCTGTGGGTCACGGCCCCTTTGTGGGTTGAACGACCCTTTTACAGGGGTCACCTAAGACATAACAGTAGCTAAATTATAGTTAGGAAGTAGCAACGAAAATAATTTTATGGTCGGGGGTCACCACAACATGAGGAACTGTATTAAAGGGTCGCGGCATTAGAAAGGTTGAGAGCCACTGCAAGTTGACTAGAATTTTTGCTTTGTGTTTTCAAATGGTTATGTTTCTGTGTGTGTAATAATTTTCTAAAAAGTTGTACATAACTGTAGATTTTAATAAACCCCAAAATGTGACATTTTAAAAGACCCTTTGGTAAACCATTTTTCTAAAGGCAACAAAACAAAAATCATTTTAAGTATGTTTGTCATATTTTCTAAAATAAGCTACTCGTGGTTGAGTATTGACCCATGCACCAAGAGGTTGCTGGTTTGATTCCTGGTCAGGACACATGTCCAGGTTGTTGGCCTGATCCCCAGTGCGGGGCATGCAAGAGACAGCCAAAAGCTGTTCTCTCATTGATGTTTCTATCTCTCTCTCTCCCCCTCTCTCTTCCTCTCTCTAAAAATTAATAAAGAAAAAAAATTTTTTTCAATAAAATAACCTACTTCTGAATGTCTAAGATCTAAGTTGGGTTAGCAAACTTTTTTTATCCTCACCCGAGGACATTTTTGCATTTATCTTCAGATAGAGCAGGACAGAGAGAGGGAGGAAGAGAGAGAGAGAGAAACATTGATGTGAGAGAGACACATCTAGAGTAGTTGCCACCCGCACGACCCCAACCAGGCCCGGGGACAAACTGCAACAAAGGTACATGCCCTTCGCGGGAACCGAACCCGGGTCTCCCTGGACCGTGGGCCAACGCTCCAACCGCTGAGCCAAACCTGCCAGGGCTAGCAAACTTTCTTGTATAGGGGCAGATAGTAAATATTTTAGGTGTGTGGGCCACACAGTAAACTACTTATCTCTGTGGTATATTGAGAAAGTAGGCATAGACAATAACACAAAAGAATAAGCTTGACTATGTTTCTATAAAACTTCATTTGATTTTTTTTTCAACCATTTAAAAATGTGAAAACCATTTTTAGTTCATAAGCTGTACAGAAAAGACAATGGGCTATATTTGTGTTTGGTCTATGAACTACAGTTTGATGACCCCTGATCTAAATGGTCCCTGGCAGATTTGGAATTTATAAAAAGTATTTTCTCTACTTAAAACTAGAATCCATAAATTTTCTAATGTACTGTTTAGTTATTGCATTGATTTTTTTCTCACCTACCTGAGGCAGGTGGGAGGGGAAAGTTTAAGTGGGTTGAAGATTAGGGACTATGAAATGTTTGATGGAGAGGTTGTTAGACATGCCTGAATCACAGTATCTCTGTAACCTGCATGGATGGAGATGTGAGTTAAAGGCATTAAGTATGCCTGACACATGACAAGTGCTTAATAAGTACAGGAATGAAGAAATACCACACTTAGTTCTCTATTTAGCGCTTAATGTCTTCAACAAGAAAACAACTCTCTGCGATTCTAAATTAAATTGTAAAATCCTGTCTTCAGTTTTCCTGACTTTGCACTAGACACTTAATTGCCCAGTGTTTTAATTTTGCTAGCCGCTCTCTTGAGCATTATGTCGAGAATAGGTCAGGGCACAGCTTCACCATTATGAAACCAAATATTTCAAAGTGAAAAATAGTTCTCCCACCATGAATAAAGGGTGCATTGGACTGATAATCAGATGCAGATAGTACTATGAAATTAAGTTCAAATGACATCTCATTGTATTGTTGTTTTATGTACAGAAAAAATGATACTTAAATTTTGAATGCTAGGTATTTTTCATTTTCTCTTTTGCATCCTCCACTACACAGTACATTTATATACAGTAAAAGACAATGAAATTGTATCAGTTTACATATAATTAAGCACAACTGTGACAGCATAGGAACAAAATAGGTAAGTTGGGAACCATCTTATTAAAGGTATTTGAAATGCCAAATTTACTCTTAGTATATGTCCATACTGTTGAATTTGTAATACCTGCTTTTAACATGGGAAATTTGGTTGTGTGCTAAATGTGAGAAACTATAAGCTTTGTTGTATGTAAATATTTGGACATACATTGTTGATGAAAACTTATTTTTAAATAAATTTGCTTTTGCAAGTCACTGAAACAAATTTTAGAAGCCCTTTTTGTAAAAATTGTATTTTTTAAATACATACTTAATTTTTAGGATCTAAATTTCTCTTGTAAATACAGACCAGCCTAGGTAAATTATAGCCTGTTTTCCAAATATGGCCCACCACCAGTTTTGGCTGGGAAAATAATAAAAAAAATAATGTTTTATTACATATGAAATTATATAAATTTAAAGGATTTAATAAACAAAGTTTTATTGAAACGCAGTTATTCCCATTTATTCACGTGTTACCTATGGCTTCTTTGCACATTGACAAAGTTGAATAGCAACAGAGACTACATGTGCCTCACAGATCTAAAATATTTCTCAGCCTCTGATACAGAAATTGTTTTAACTCTATTTTCAAGAGTTTTTCATTATAAAACTTTTTTTATATCATTGTAAATTCTGACACTATAGTGTCTTCCTACAAGTTCTTATTTCAAAGAAACACTAGTCATATGGAAAAGCAGTATTCCACCTCCACATTTTAATCTTGTAAAAATGATATACAAAATGGACAGAGTCTAAAGTTTTCGTTCTAATTAAAAACAAGATGGTGAGATAAACCAATTTTTAAAATACAGATCTTGGTTGTAAGACATCACCTGGGAAATCTTTCAGATTGCTCTGAGAAAAATATTAAAGAATGGGAACTTATGATATGAATGGTTATTGTTTGAACTTTCGGAGTAGACATGCTTAAAAATAAGACTTTAATTGGTTTTAAATTTTCTTCTTTATTACGTTGACTACAAATTTCACCATAATTAAAGTTATCTTTTTTTTTTTTTTATCCTCACGCGAGGACAATTTTCCATTTTTTGTTCACATAGAGTGGGAGGGAGAGAGAGGAAGAGAGAGAGAGAGAGAGAGAGAGAGAGAGAGAGAGAGAGAGACATCGATGTGAAAGGGACACAGCAAGTGGCTGCCTCCCACATGACCCAACCAGGGCCGGGGACAAACTGCAACCGAGATACGTGCCCTTAGCAGGAACTGAACCCGGGTCTCTCTGGACCACAGGCTGATGCTCTAACCGCTGAGCCAAACCGGCCAGGGCAAAGTTATCCTTTTGATATATCATTTGTAGTAATACTAGGTTCTAGATTCGAATTATATAGGATAAATTTGCAGGAACTAAAAATTGTAGTTTTTATTTTTATGGCTTTGATTGTTATGCTGTTTGGACATCTTTTCCATGTAAACTAAAACTGCTGTGATTTTTTATTGATGCTTTCAAAGCGTCTCATCTGAAACCTATATCATAAATTGCAATAATAACCATTAACTAGCCTGTTTTTTGCCTTTTTTCTATTTTGTTGTTTTTTTTTTAGTAGTTTTTTTCATGTGAGCAAATGATTGTAATGGAGACATAAGTTTAAATATCACAAATCAGCAAGAACAGAGATTTAAATTTTTTTTCCTTAATCTTAAATGTAGCCAATTTATGTTTGCTTTCTGATTGCAGACCTTGCTTGCATGTACAAGTTATTTAGTCGTGTGCCAAATGGTTTGAAAACAATGTGTGAGTGTATGAGTTCCTATTTGAGGGAGCAGGGTAAAGCCCTGGTTTCTGAGGAAGGCGAAGGAAAGAATCCTGTTGACTATATCCAGGTAAGTAGATACAGAAGATTCTCTTTAAGTTTATGATTAATGTTGACAGGTGCTAAAAAGGCCACTATTACTCTGCCATGTATTATGTATTTCTGACTTAATTGTCCCCATGTTAAACTAATATGTGTAATTATCCTAAATATTTTAGATATTTGGAAAGTATATTTATATCAGGGAGCCAGATTCAGCTACTTCCATTCATTCATTGTGAATGGTAAAGACCTTGTTTAAATAGTCTTAAGAATGAAAGTTATTCCTTTGTACTTTTTTATATGCCTAAGTGTTAATACATTTTAGTGTGTTAAAAAACCACGTGTTAAATACCTTTTGTTTCAAAATGTTTTGCTTTCAAGCAATAATAGGAATAAATTATGCCCCAAGTTTTTCATGTTTTAATAAATAATTGGCTTTTGTGGTATATTTTTAAAGCTGGTTTTCTCAGGCTTGCCCATTTAGTAAAGACAGACGATGGAGAGAAAGAAACAAGTGAGGATGTTCATTGATTCATCTTCAGTAAAGTAATACATAAATGGAAGATAGCATACTTCTCATCACTGACATTTTTAATACAGCCTTAGATAAAGGCTTGAAAATAATATAGAATCTGTAAGTTTAACACTGAATGCACACATTTATATTACCGTCAAGGTTAAAATAAACATGCACGTTCATACGTGTATTGTTTCTAAAAAAAATATTATAATGCATCTTAAATTCCTCTGTTTTTATTTGGAAGGGCTTATTGGATCTGAAGAGTAGGTTTGATCGCTTCCTGCAGGAATCATTTAATAATGACCGGCTCTTTAAACAAACTATTGCGGGTGACTTTGAGTATTTTCTCAACCTCAACTCCAGGTCCCCTGAATACCTCTCATTATTTATTGATGATAAGTTGAAAAAGGGAGTTAAAGGGGTAAGTATAATGTATTTAAAAATACATTTAAATTTTACTTATAGATATAAAATTATAATAAACTTAGGTAATCAAATATAAAATTAGGGGATTTTGTAGGTATAAAAATAAGCATAGCCCTTTCCCATGCTTAAGGGTAAAAGGATTAGTTACGGTATTCAAAATGGCCAGAGGTACTTTGACATTTTACTTAATGTGTAAAAACAAACAGCTACACAGCTATAGTTGTTGAAGTCTTTAGACTGAGGGTTTGATACGCTGTAGAGATCATAGGAATTAGAAAACAACTATCCATAGCACAGAATGTTGTTGCTCTCATCTGGTTCTTGGGGTCATGTATCAAATAATACTTGGATGCCAAGAATTTGAAGACAGACACTAGAATAACTATCAGAAAATAGTTTGAACGCATATATGGAAGCTCGGTTTCAAACTTTTATTGTGTATCTGGGACCTTGGAAGCTCAATATAGCGTAGAAAATTAAATTGAGCATGTTGTGATTGCTTTTTTACCTAACCTTGGAATTTGAGACAAATGAGAAAAGCACAAATGACCACAGGTTTTATAGGGTTCTGTATGTAACAGAAACAAACAGAAGAAAGATTAAGACACAGAATAAAAAGACACATTTGTTTAATCTTCCATATATTTTAATATAAGCTTAATACAACCTGCCACATATCACCTTTCCATTATTTAAAGATAAGGGCAAGGGGCCTTTTTATTTTTTTAATTATAACAAATTATCATCCTTTTGTGTGCACAATTTAGATTTTGAATGACCTAATATGAAAATACCTGTCTTTTGGCTGTGTAAGTTCCTGCCTAAATATTATGTAAAGGTATCATAAAATACTCTTTTTGCAATTACAATTGTATTTCATCTATTCTTCGTCTTTATTATTTTACTTTTTTAATTATCACCCCGGGATACATTTTCATTGATTTTTTTTTTTTTCTCTCCTTTTTAGGTAGAGTAGGAGGGAAGGAGGGGGAGAGAGAGAGAGAGACAGACAGACAGACAGACAGACAGACAGACATACATTGATGTGACAGAGAGACATCAGTTGGTTGCCTCACACATGACTCCTGGGGCTGGGGTTCGAACCCATGACTTTTTGGTCCATGGGCCAACGCTCTAACCATGGAGCCTTACTGGCCAGGGTTTTATCATCCTTTAGTCTAGCCATATCATTTCAGTGGTAGCCCTCTAAGAAATAGAACTCTACATCAACCCCTAAGTAATACTGCACTAGAACAGGATGTAAGAATTGTGGTATGCTACTCTATGAAGTAGGCACCTTCTCTAACCAGATCCCTCCTGACATAGCTCAACCAGATATTTATATTTGTTGTCATTGTATTGTTTTTAAACTGTTGAACTGTAGTGCTGTTTTTGTATAACTAAAATTTTGGAATTAATTGATTTTGCAGCTAACAGAACAAGAAGTAGAAACAATATTGGATAAGGCAATGGTCCTTTTTAGGTTTATGCAAGAAAAAGATGTATTTGAACGTTATTATAAACAACACTTGGCAAGGAGACTTCTCACAAATAAAAGTGTTTCTGATGACTCTGAAAAAAATATGATATCTAAGTTAAAGGTAAGATAAATGGAATGTACCTAACTAATGTTTGGCCCATGATTGAACACCAGCAACACTTGATTGGGAAGTATTTAATTGATTTAAAATACTTTTTATAAATTAATAAAGCTGTACTTATATTTATTCAAGTTCTCGGACATTCAGAATTTGGTGGAATTTCTCTTGGTGTGTCAGGGCACATTCATGGTGATGTGGGTAGGATTAGTGCAAGGGAAACAAAAGGACTTGGTATATGGTTCTGTCACAAAGGTGTGGTCCATAGACCACTTACCCGTATCACTTGAGGTGCTTGTTAACACACAGTTTTGGGCCCCTGCCTTTAGGAGTTTATTGGAGCCTCCAAAAGAGACTGGGAATCTGAATTTTAAAATAAAATACTTGGATTATTTTTAACTATTGAAAAAATTTAGACATGGTAACAATAACATGGAATAGTTTATTTCTTTGTAAGTTTTGTCATAAAAAACCCATCATTTATTAGTGTATATTTGTGTGTTTTTTTTTACCACAGACTGAGTGTGGATGTCAGTTCACATCAAAACTGGAAGGAATGTTTAGGGATATGAGCATCTCAAACACAACTATGGATGAATTCCGGCAACATCTGCAGGCAACTGGGGTAAGATTCTCTTTTAATTTCTACTTTCATATATATGTTTTTATGTAAAGTTCTTGGTAATGGACAGTTTCATCCATATATTAAATAACTGAACTGCTGTTGTTATTTGTAAGTATGTCAGTAAGTGATAGCATATGTATTGTCTGTGAGTACTTTAAAAATTATTTTCCCCTAGGTAACCTCTTTTTCTAAATATTAATGTTTAAATTATTATTTTTTTTATTCTTCTAAAACTTAGTTTATCTGTCCCACTGGAAGAAATGTGCTGAAAATTTAATAAATAAAATGATTCTGCTGTTATAGATTATGGAAAGAATAGTGGGCTTATGCAAACTTACTGAGTTATAGTTCTTGTCCTTTCACTTTGCCCCAGGATTGTGCTACCTTTGTGAGCTCCTATTTAATTGATACTAAATGGGCCCAACATCCTCAGCATTGGTGGGGGGTGAGCCGAGTATAAAAACTCAGACAGTAGTGTGATTCCCAGGAGGCAGCGAGCTGCAGCTTGTATGGCTTTGGAGTCTGGTGGGGTTTTGTGAGGATTTAATAAAGTGCAGAATTTTGTTTCTTTTTTGAACTGTTTTTCAACTTTACCTTACATTTAGAGATTTGCACAGTTTTTATTTAAGTTTTCTCAAGTGACTGCATATCACTTTGTAATTAAGACATGTCACAACCATTTTTTAAAAATAGGTCTTTTATATTTAAGTATTAGATTATCGCTTCTGTGGTCTTCCAGTCTCATAACAAACAGAGTATGTGGAAATAGCTAATTCTGTAGAAATGGACAAGTACATATTAAGGAATTATGACCCAAAGGGATGTGTGGTCCCTCTTCATTGTAGGTAGTTATATAATGATTTCCCTCATAATGTGTACAGTGGAGAAGAGCTGAGTGCAAGAAAGATACAGGTGCGTGATGTAGAGAAATTTGAGGTGGGCAGGAACTGAATAATGTGATTATCTTAGTATTTTTTAGATTGTTTAGGGATTTCTATTTCAATTTGTCTAATATATTGATGTATTATATTTTCATGTGATATAACTTTTTTCTGTTAATTTTTGCCTTCCACTAATCTTGCACATATTGAGGGATATAGGGAAGTAACCTGGTCATATAATCTATTTGAAACCATCTGTGAGGGACTGTTCCTGTTTAATTACTTGCCTATGATACTTCAAGGCCTTTTGATACGAAAATTATATTATTTACTCTTGATCATTTTGTTGCTATTGTTTCATTTAAAAAAGGAGTGGTGACTGTTGAACATGTTTTCAACAGATTTTTTTTTGTTTTGTTACAAAGTTTGTAAATTTTCTATTCTTTCATTTTCGTTATTCAAATATATCTACTTCAACTTGTATGCATGAACAGTGGACATGGACAACAAAGCTGGGGACAGGGCAGGAAGGGGGGGAAGGGGGTATCAGTGGGGGAAAAAAGAGAAACATCCATAACAAAAATTAATTAATTAATTTAAAAAAATCTATCTACTTCACTGTGTGGTTGAATATTTAATAATTTGTTAGCTACAATAAGTAGAGTACTTATTAAGATGCCCAGAGTTATATAATCTGCTAATTCAGTTGCAGCTTCTACTTACTGTAAGGCCATTATTTGCATGCATTTCTTGACATTTTATAATTGTTTATGCTAAGGCCATAAGCCTTAAGTATCCTAAGCCTTAACCTACATTAGAAAGATTTGATGACAGAGTAATCAAATAAATGCTGAGCTTTCTGAAATCTTTCAGCACTTTTAAAATATCACCAATTGTCAAGCAGGGGATTCTCTATAACATCTTGGCTTATTGAAATATACAAAGAGAGTGACTCTTACATTTAATTTTAGAAGTCATGAGTACTTTCCTAAAGTTCTCATAATACTGGAGGTATACTTTATTTAGATAAATCATCTTTATTATGTTGAAAGTAACTTAAGTGTGTTAGTCCATTTTCCCTATGTTTTTATTTTCAAAATGAGGGTGGGGTAGTAAAGCCACCTTGCTATAATATTTGTTTATTTACATCAGGAAGTCATATACCCTGACAGAACTTTTCTGGAACCTCTGTCTCTCTGTACTTGCCTCTGTCATGTGCTGTCTTTGGATATAAGCTTAATGGCTTCAAAATATTACTAAAAGAGTGAGGAAAGGAAGATACAAAAACCACTAGAGTAATAGTTCTTTGAGGCTCTTTCATTTTTTTCTTTTCCAGTTAACAAATAATTCACTAAGTTCTCTCTATGCCAAGCATTGTTCTAGGCACTGGGCTTAGGGCAGAAAAGGGAACAGACAAAATTCCCTACCCTATGGAGTTAACGTTCTAATCGGGAGACAGATGGTAAACAAGATCAGGAAACGTACAGCATTGTAGCTGGTGATAGAACATACAGAGGAAATCTCTGAGAGAATTGATCAGAGTGTAGGCCTCTTTTAAAACATGGCATTTTAAGACTTGAAGATTAAGTCTTTGTGTGGCTATGTGGAAGAAGAGATCAAAGACTACTGTTTGGGATGGATTGAACCAGATTAAGAGTCCATCCCCCAACTTGGCAAAGTGCCAACGGTTCTCAGCCCTTCTCAGTTCAGTATCTGAGAGCTTCTGCTAAGGTCCCCTCCTATGTATCATCTCTAAGATTTCGAGTTTTAGTTGCTGTAAAATGGGGTAATCATTTAGTAGGTATTTGTGAAGAAATCTGAGTTTGGAATAATACTTTATGATATTTTTTTATAAGCTCATTTCTTCCTTTTAGAAATCTATGTCACTAAATCATTCAGGCTAGAAAAAATGCAATAATTTAGAACAAATAGTATAATAAAGATACTATTTCACCTTTAAGATTTGTTTGATGTGCCTTATTTTTGTTTTCATAAAAATTTACTTTGTTTAAAAAGAACATATCTAATGTGACAGTAACGCTAGCATATATTTTGTAGAGGTGGTAGTTATCTATTATTCAAATATTCATAGAGCACCTACTGTGTAGAACTGGATCTAGTGTCCTGTGCAAACAAAGATGTTAGAATGTAAACTACAAGCAAAAACAGGTTGATAAACTACTTCAAATGTGAATGGGATAGGAATATGTTTTATGTGTTAAAAGCTGAGATGAGAGATAGTATCCTAGAATTTTCTTTAAAATAACACAGATATAACCACTTAACATTTTATCTAAAAAAGCTTCAGGACCAAAACTTTGCATTTCTCAGTGACACTAGTAATCCTTTGTTTACATGCTAACAACTGTCCATTGTTCAGTGTTTTAAAGTCAACATCTTAAGCAAAAATTATAAATATTTTCCACGAGAGTTAAAATATGAAAAACGCTGGTGCTTCTAAGAACCTTTAAGAAGATAATGTTTTATTTGCTCCATATTGGGCATGGAGCTAACTACTTTGATAATTGACACAGTGTCTGTCAGGAACGGATAACAGATTCTAGTTCATTGTTGGGGAACGTCTCTTTCTCCTTTACACAGGTATCTTTAGGTGGTGTTGATCTCACGGTTCGGGTGCTCACAACAGGATATTGGCCCACTCAGTCAGCCACACCAAAGTGCAACATCCCACCAGCACCAAGACATGCTTTTGAGATATTCAGAAGGTAAACGTAGATCAAACTTTGTATTTCTAAGAACAAATAACTATCCAAAATTGAAATAAATATGAGCATTTGTAGTGTCCCTGATTGAGGATGAATATATTCCACTTTTTGACCTCATGTTCAAAAGAAAGGGTTATCCTATATGCTTTTAATATGCATTGCATAAACTCCTTTCAGAGGAATGTTTTATTGATGTCCTTTGACATTAGTGCATAGTTAGGAATTGAGTTTGTATTGTTGATGTCTCCCACTGATTTAGGGCAAGTTAATTGTTGGGTTACTGTGGAGAAAGGTGGTCTTACGAGCAGCAGTGGCTGAGCAGCAGGCCAGGGCCAAAAGGGTACCAGTAGAAGTTATTTAGTGTGCTGCCTTTCTCCTGTAATATCTGGCTAATTGAGGTCTTTTTTCTCTGCATCTCGCTCTGCCTCCCTGTCAGTTTTGTTTCCTCTTATGTAAAAAATTGGATCTGAGCCCTGGCTGGTTTGGCTCAGTGGTGTAGAGCATCGGCTCGCGGACCAGAGAGTCCGGGTTTGGTTCCTGCTATGGGCACATACCTTGGTTGTGGTTTGTCCCCGGCCCCAGTTGGGGTCGTGTGGGTGGCAGCCATTCAATGGGTCTCTCTCACATCAATGTTCCTCTCTTTCTCTTCCTCATTCTCTCCCTCCGGCTCTATCTGAAGATAAATGAAAAAAAAAAAAAAAGGTCCTCAAGTGAGCATTAAGTAAATAAAAATTGGAACTGAACTTTATTCTTAAGGTTTTCTTTATCTTTTAAACTCTCCTTTACATATGTGTTTGTTAAGCGTTATTATCCTATAGTTTATCATTTCAAATATGTAAATTCTATGATTTTCTAAAACCTGGTTTGATTTGCTGAAGGTTTTACTTAGCGAAACACAGTGGTCGACAGCTCACACTGCAGCATCATATGGGTTCTGCAGATCTCAATGCCACCTTCTATGGACCAGTTAAAAAGGTAAATACTGGTAGTTTGAACATATTTATAATAAGTAACTTAAAATAAGTGTATAGAACTGATTTGTGATTTTTGTTGACTTAGGTCAATTATTTCTCTTATTACGCTACCTATTTCAAATATTTAAGGGGGTATTTGGCTTTGATTTATTGATCTCTGTTCCCTCAGTTGCTAAATAACTTTGACAGTATGAAGATTATACCAGTAGGCTTTCTTAAGGAATAAATAATAAGATAATTACACATTTTATTTATAAGATTAGACTTGAGACCATATTGCATAAAATAATAAAATGTAAGTTGATTTGGGGGCATACAAAGCTGTGAGTTCCTTTTCAAAATTCTTAGTCTCTTATAGTCCTTACTAGTTTTCAACCGTCAAAAGTGGGAACATTAACACTTGAGATTTGTGAGATGTAAAAAAGGTTACTAAAGTGATTATTTTAAAATGAGCACTTTACTAGTGAATTTCCTTCATTTAAAAATCACTTTTTTATATCTAAAATTATAAGGTTTAGAGTACTTTCATTGCTTGGTATAACTTAAATGAGGATCGTTTACTTTAAAATAAAGTAATGAGAAGCTTCCAACAAAACATTAAAGAATAATACCTGAGTTGTCATCTAGGCAGCAAATAATTATAATTACAATTTTAGTAGTTTTATATGATACCACTATAACACCAAAGTTTTTTAAAAATATTGTTGAAAATAGCTACATGTATTCTAATTTTTATGTTTAACTGAAATGGGAAATGTTCCTTACAATTCATTTAGTTGAATAATGTTAGAAATTATTACATACAGGGTGGGGTAACAGTAGGTTTACAGCTGTCCATATGGAAAATAATACAGTGATTAATAATAATACAAGAATAACTCTATGCTTCTCATACTCAAAACCTCCTTTTGCCCTTTCCTGTATTTAAGTGGAAGTGGGAAGGTCAAGGATACTAAAAACTCAACTTTTAATTATTGTTTGTTTTTATTTTAAAGGAGAGGATTTTTCCCCTAAATAATCATTTTATCTTTTGAAGTTTTATTAAACAGATCAGTAGATTTTTAAAACAATTTGTATGTTAATTATTGAAGACTTAAATTTCTGCTTTGTACTTAAGTCATAGAGCAGGAACAGGCTGTAAGGGCAACAGATGATTTTCCCCACATCCTATGCTATCTTTTGGTCTCTTACTGTAATCAGACCACACAGAAAGAAACCTAACCCTACAACTTTTGGTAGTGGTATAATGGAATGATGTCTTTTAAGTCCATTATTATTCTGTGGTGTACTATTAAAATAATGTTAGTTGTAAAATTAAAATGTTCACACACACACACACACACAAATGACAATCCTAAATATTTTGTGTGTGTGTTCATACACACATATTTTCAAGTATTTTATATAGGAATAAGTTATGTTGTTTTGTAAAGGAGGGGTTTGTTGTCATTACAGGGGTTATTTCTCAATCATAGTGTTAAAGTTACCAGATGATTGTATCTTTTTTATGTTTTTTTAAAAAAATAAAACAGGAAGATGGATCTGAGGTTGGTGTTGGAGGGGCGCAGGTCACTGGCTCTAATACCCGGAAGCACATACTGCAAGTCTCCACTTTCCAGATGACCATATTGATGCTCTTTAATAACAGAGAAAAATACACGTTTGAGGTATGGGTTGGTTATATAAATTTTAACCAATTGTATTGTTTCTAATTTTCACATGTTACTTGAATTTTTATTATTTGAATAACCTTTGGAGTTATTATTTGAGGATTATTGTTACTGTTTGAGTAACCTTTGAGTACCATGAGAGGAAAGAGCATGAAATTGAGCTATGGAACTATATGAATATCATATACTTTTTGGGTCACATTTCATTTGACTTTTTAAAATCAACTTTATTGAAGTATAAGTTTTATGTAGTAAACATACCCCATTTAAGTATACACAATTTGTTGAGTTGTAAGAGATGTGTGTACCTGTGTAACTGCCATCACAATCTATAGAACATTACCCCCCAAAATTTTTATACTCCCTTCTAGTCGATTTCCTCCCACTGTCCCCATATTCAGGTGGCCAGTGACCTGCTTTGTGTCACCATAGATTAGTTTTGCCTCTCTAGTATTTCCTATAAATGAAATTATACAATACGAATTGCTTTTGTGCCGATTCTTTTACATAGCACAGTGTTTTTGAGAATAATCCTTGTTGCGCATGTAGTTTCAGTAGTTTATTCCTTTTTATTACTGAGTGATACTCCATTATATCAATCTACTACTACGTTTTCTGTTGATGGGTATTTGCGTTGTTATCAGATTGAGGCTGTTATGAATACGGATATATGTTTAACTTTCTAAGAAACTGCCAAACTGTGTCCCAAAGTGGTTGTACCATTTTACATTCCAGCCAGCAGTTTAGGAGAGTTCCAGTTGCCCCACGTACTCTCCAAAATTTAGTATTATCAATCTTTTTAATATTAGCCATTTTAACTGATGTGTAATTGTATCTCATGGTGGATTTAGTTTGCCTTTCCTTGATGACTAATGATGTTGAGTATCCTTTATGTGTTCATGTGCCACTTATGTGTCTTGTTAGTGAGGTGTCCATATCTTTATTGAGGTTTTTAAAAGCTCTTTATAAATTCTGTATACAAATTCTTTGTCAGATTTGTGTCCTATGAACATTTTCTCAATGTGTCACTTGCCTTTTCAGTTTCTAAGTGGTATTTTTTTTCTTTTTATATTGTTGACACTATTACAGATGTCCCCCATTTTCCTCCCTTTGCCCCACTTCACCCAGTGGCCCTTACACCCCTGGCCTTCACCACTTTATTGTCTTTGTCCATGGACTATGCATTTATGTATGTTCTTTGGTAAATCTCTTCCTGTCCTCCCTACCCCCTCTCCTCTGAGATCTGTCCGTCTGTTCCATACATCCATGCCTGTGGCTCTATTTTGTCAGTTTAATTTGTTGATTAGATTTCACATATAAGTGAGATCATGTGATACTTGTCTTTCTCTTACTGGCTTATTTTGCTTAGCATAATAATCTCCAGGTCCATCCATGCTTTCACAAAGGGTAAGAGTTCCTTCTTTTTTACAGCCGTCTAGTATTCCATTGTGTGAATGTACCACAGCCTTTATATCCACTTATGTGTTGATGGGCATTTGGGCTATTTTAAAGAGCAATACTGACAAAGTCCAATTGCCCCCTTTTTTCCTTTTATCGTTCTTGCTTTTGATAATCCTATCTACAAAATGATTAGCTACCGCAAAATTGCAAAGAATTTCTTCTGTGTTTTCTTCAAGTGGTTTATAGTTTTAGATTTTACATTTATGACTGTGATTAATTTCAAGTTAATTTACTGTAACTTTTAATATGCTGGCTTTTTAATTTATTTTTTCTTTTCCCCCATATCTTTAAATGGGTGTGTTGTAGCTGAAATGAAGATCATGTGATACTTAAGTTTAAATTTAAAATAAAGGATGAATATTTTTTAAAAGCTAAAATCACTGCCGTATTTATATTTAATTGAAAGCTAGTTTTCAGATATAGGTGAGCATAGTAAGGTATAAGTTTAAGTTTGAAATTAAGAGCAAGATTAAATTCTAGGCTTATTCATCTCCATACTTCCATTTATGTGAAGGGTATAATTAAGAGATGACCATTTTTATGTGATATTCCTCAAGGAAATGGTTTGAAACCTAAGTGTCTTAGGTCAGTGGCTAAGTCAAATATGTGTCACTCTTACATATTTCCAGATCTGTCTGTCTTAGGTAATAACCTTAATTTTTTCAAGTACAAGTTACACATGATTGAGTCCCAAGAATATTGATTAAGCAGGCATTGAATACTTTACCTCAGACGTTGTAAGCTTTTTCAAACAGGTGGGATTAAATTATCTTTAACAGCATGGATGTTTTCATCTGCACCTCTCATGGAAAAAATATTCTAAGCAAATTAAGCTACCTGAAAAATGTAAGAGTTGGTTGTATGACTTATTATATCATACATTTTTTCTAGTTGTATAGCGACTAAATCGTATCCATATGCAATTCTCTTAATGTCCCATTGATGTAAGATTATAATGAATTTTAAAATGACATAGTTGAGCCTTGGCTGATGTGGCTCAGTTGGTTGAGCTTCGTCCCATGCACCAAGAGGTTGCCGGGTTTGATTCCTAGTCTGGACACATGCCTGGGATGTAGGTTCAATCCCCAGTAGGGGGTTGAGGGGGTGTGCAGGAGGCAGCCAATTAGTTTCTCTCTTTCATTGATGTTTCTTTCTCTTACCCTCTCTCTTCCTCTCCCTCCCTCTAAAATAAATAAAAACATATTTTTAAAATGTATACAGTTGGCCCTTGAACAAGGTAGAGCTTCAGGGCTAGCTGCCCACTCCAAGTTGAAAATTCACATGTATATTTTGACTCTACAGTCGTTGGCCCTTTGCATTCCCAGATTCAGCCATGACTGTAAAACTGATGGGAATGCAAAAATACTGTCTTCCATTCAAGGTTGTTTGAGTCCGTGGATGTGAAACCCACGGATGCCAAGAGTCAACTGTATTTATTGACAAATATCCACAGTGTGTACCCAAACAATTCAAACCCATGTTACTCAAGGGTCAACTCCATATTCATTCTTTCCTGAAATGCTTTTGTTTTACTTAATAACATATAGCAACAATTATCACCTGTACTTCAAAACAATCTATTGCTTTTTATATTTAGTATTAATTACCAAGTACTTATTTTTTTTTATTTGGTCACACAGATAATAGATATGGTCAACTTAGGCAGTAAATTTTGATTGTCTGATAGAAGGCTTTAGTTCATGCTTACTTTGCTTCTCTCTACAAAAGAAGTTGCTAAGCAAAAGAAAGTTGTGGATGAACTTAGAGGGAAGATGTAGAGTATTTCTAAAAGTGGCAATTGTATGTTGGTTAACACTTATTTTTACCTAAATATTAAAGCAGGTCCCTAATGTTCTCTGCTGGATGATGTTTTTAGATAGATTAAGCTTATGTCTCCTGAAACTAAAAAAGTACATATATTTTCAATATTTTGTAATTTGAATCACCTTTCATCTTTTTTCAAATTAATGAGATTTTAGTGAAGTACCATAATAGGGAATTCTTGGTCGCAAATTATTTAATGGGATTACCTTTTTAACTGCTGGTTGGTATTTTCTACTAATTAATCAGCTTTAATCTGCTAAAGTGTCTATTTATAATTATGTCAATCTGATGAAATTTCAGGAAATTCAACAAGAAACAGATATCCCTGAGAGGGAGCTTGTTAGAGCCCTGCAGTCCCTCGCCTGCGGTAAACCAACGCAGCGGGTTCTCACCAAAGAACCCAAGTCAAAGGAAATAGAAAATGGTCACATATTCACTGTTAATGATCAGTTCACATCCAAACTACACAGAGTCAAGATTCAAACAGGTATTATATTTTTCCTCTTAAAACAAATTGTTTTTTCTCTAAAAATTCTTATTTGTTTGATTTTTTTTTTTTTTTTTACCTTTTTTAAAGGTAATTCTTTTCTGGTGCTATGTGTCATGCATAAGGTTGCATAAAAGCTCCCAGTGCAAGCTTTTATTGATGAGTGTTCCTATCAAATGCAATTGAATCCAAGTACAGAAAACATTTTAAAAAGTAATTCATAGTGGTGAAAGTGATAACATTTATTTCCATAGGTTTTTGACACATAAAGTACAATTTTATGAACATAATATACTTATAAATTCTTTTTAAGTGGGTAACTGTCTTTGGATGTCTGTTTTGAAACTGATTTACAGATTTCTCAAACTTGGTAGTTATCTATCTTAAAGATTGATCTTTTAGATGCACCTATTTATATTTTGATGAATATTTTTAAGTTTGAAAACCTTAAAATTTATATTCTCTCACTCGGAAAAAAAAGAAGTGACGCTGTTGTGAGCAGTTTTTAGTACAGCCTTATTTTTAATTGAAACTCTAATGTAGTTTTCTACTTCGTCTTAAAACTAGTATTAGATAAGTTTCCCAGTACTAATTTATTTATTACAGCTAATATATCTTGTGATAAAACTATTTTTGAAATAAGAAAAAATTTTTAAATGACTAGAGTTTTTTTTTTAATCCTCACCTAAGGACATTTTTCTATTTTTTGTTCAGACAGAGTTGGGGGGGGGGGGGGGAGAGAGAGAGAAACATCGATGTGAAAGGGACAGACACATCGAATGGCTGCCACCCACACGACCTAACCAGGGCCGGGGACAAACTGCAGCTGAGGTACGTGCCCTTAGCGGGAACCGAACCTGAACCCAGGTCTCTCCAGACCGCAGGCTGACACTCGAACCGCTGAGCCAAACCGGCCAGGGCTAGAGTTTTTTTTATTTAAAAAAAATTATATTTGCATTGTATGTTAGTAAAAAATAGTTTTTTTTTCATTGTTTTAATGCTAAATATACAATTGCTTGCCAGAATACATTGATTCAAGAACTTTATTCCACACTTTTGTTTTCCTTTTTGAACCTGATTAGATCCAGTATGTTTTGCAAAGTAGGGTGGTATGTATCTGTCAGAGCCTTGATTGCTTTGTTCCATAGTTGAAAACCATATCATTGTATCTTCATCACCAAGATTGACCCTATATCTTTGGGACACAGATGTAGATTAAAAAATAAAATAGAACTGTGCCAACGAGTTCTCCCAATGCAAGACATATGAATTTTTAATTAATAATGCTGTACAGCTATATATACCATCTGTGTTTGTATGTCTGTACTGTCTCAAAAATGTCTTTTATACCTTAACTCTTTGGATCCAGGATTCAGTCAAGGTTTTCACATTAAATTAATTTGTATGTCTCTTTTTAATTTAGTTCTGTTTAAAGCAATACCTATCTTTAAAATGACATTAACGTTTTTGAAGAAAAGCATTATCTTCTTAGTAGACCATTTTAATCTAATTTTACTCTTTCATTAAAATTGATTATCTTTAACTTGGGAAGACACTGAAGGCAGAATTCTCAACCAAGGGATTCTAGTTAGAAACAGCTAGGTGGGTATGCACACCAGAAGGATCTAAATTATGCAGTGTACTGTTGCCTGGTTTGCCTGTGACTAAGTCAGCAGTATCTCATGTGGTTCTTTGTAATTTTCCAATTTCTACCACCAGAAACTTTACATCTATCTTCTATTGAACACCAATAAGCCAAAATTTAGTTACTACTATTCTTTCTCTGCTACTTCAATTACAGCGAAGTTGTAGGAGAAAAGGAACTTCTATATTTAATCCCTGTTAAGGGGTTTCTTTAATTGACATTCTAGTGATACTTTTTAATTATTTATTGAGCTAACTAAATCTTGGCAGTACATGCTCTCTCTTCCTCTTTAAGTGTTAGAGATTACAGCCACAATTATAGTTGGTAATCTATCAGGTATTCTCTTATCTGAGATACCTTTGATGAGGTTTATTAGGGAGTTGAGGTGGTAGAAATACTAGTTGACCTGGAAGTCACAGGCAATGAAAATGACTGCTAACTTAACTACTAAAGATAACCAGCTACCATTTTTCTTCCAGGAAAGGAATCATTATATTCTATAAAAATAAATTTTTTTTTCTTATCTCCTTAAAAATAAATGTTTCCTAATGTTTAAAAGGAATAATTTAGGATTTTAGTATTTTTATATCACTACTTGTTATTTAAATATATATTAAACACTGAATTAAGCACTTTTTAGCTGTTTACTAGGAATGAGTATATGTATATATTCAGGTTCAAATTGGTTTTTCTCAGTGGACATTACTAATTTACAATGTTTGTTTTTAAACCACTTTTTTTTTCATTACATTTGAAATTACATGATAATCACATAAATGCCTTTATTTCTCTTTTAGTTGCTGCCAAACAAGGTGAATCTGACCCAGAAAGGAAAGAAACAAGGCAGAAAGTAGATGACGACAGGAAACATGAGATAGAAGCTGCTATAGTGCGGATAATGAAATCTAGGAAGAAGATGCAACACAACGTGTTAGTAGCAGAGGTGAGGACACTAAGGCGGCAGAAAAGCAAAACAACATTGCCAGTCGAAATTTAGGAAAGTACAACATTCAACTGATTTCAATATAATTTTAAAATTAGGAAACTGTAATCAGGTAATACTTATAAAAAGCATGACACCTGATATCTAAACACAGCAATACATCGAAATATGTACACACTTATAGAACTAATATGTTTGTTAAGAAAATCATAGAATATTGTCACACAAAGAGGAAACAAAATTTTCACTGCTATTTAATATTTTTGTGTGAAACAAAATACCTTTATTCCTAAAATTAATCATTGTTATTTATTGAATGTCTACATGACACAAATTTCAAAAATTATGGAAAAAGCAAATCAAATAAGCAGTTATGACACATTGGCAATTAGGTAAGTGACTGGTTAGTTTTCCCAGGCATTTTCATTGTACTGCTAAGATGAGTATTTGATGGCAGTGCCTTGAGCGGTGCATGGAGGTGTGACCATGAGAATGGCAACTTGTCCTTTGACATTTTAGCTCATAGGAAAGGGCAGAGAGGAATGCCACAGGGTTGAGTGTTGAGTTGAGGGGTTCTGGGTTTTGTTTTTCTAGATAGAAAAATATTGAGCATGTGTAGGAACTGAGGGTTGAAAAAACGGAATGCTCAGAAACAAAAGGGAAATAATGAAATTAGGGGATAATTAAGGTACCAAAGTAAAAGGAAAGGTGAGAGGCTTGTACAGAGCACAGGTAGGTGGCAGGTGTGTTAACAGGGATGTTACTGAATAGTCCTTTTCCTGAGAATACAGGGTGCAGGGGTGTGTGATAATAAAGGATGGATACAAATATGGGTAAACATATGTGTGTGGTGGGAGTTTGAGGAATTTCTCATTGAAATGTCCTCTTTCCCTAGGTAAAACAGGATGTGAGGTTATTGTCCTCAGAAACTTGCTGAACTTTGAATACTATAAATTTGTGTTATCAGTCTATTTCAGAGATTGGCATACTGTGATTTTGTTTTGTTTATTTTTAATAACCAGTTGTAGCATGAAAGTACCATAGATAACAAATGAGTGTGGCTGTGTGTACTAGTAAGAATTAATAAAACGGGCAGTGGGCTGTATGAGGCCTGTGGGCTGCGGTTTGCTGCCTCCTAGTCTACACACAAGGTATTACAAACTACAACTTGACTCAACAGGGAGCTGAGTAGTAGATTTTGAATGATGTAGTAAGTATAGAAAGGGTGTTTATGGAATAGAACCAAAGGAATCAAGGAGTTGAGGGAAGTGTTGAGTGTGTTGCTGAAATGATCTTGTATGCAGTCTAAACCCCATCAGAGATGAAGATAAGCTCAAAAGAAGGTATTACTAGCTTGGAAGAAAGGGTCAGAGGATTAGAGATCTCAGGTGAATTGAGAACAAGTTTTATTGATACTGGAATGATAATATTAGAAAGACGCTAGATTTTAGTTGGAGAGTGAAATGCTGAAGTTTCAAATTTCAAAGAATGATCAATTTGCTGTGGCCTTGGGAAATGAACTGATCCAGCAGGGGTGAGAGAGGAGCTGGCTTACGTTATGGGTGGTTGCTCCGCGAGAGGTGGATTCATGGGGAAAGCATGGACTTGGGGAAGAACGGGATGGCTTCTCTTCTCTGACTGCTGGCTCTGTTTACTGCTTGTAGATGTAGGTTTTCCTCCCTGGCTTATTTTCTTCATTTGAAGAAGTTAGACAACCTATTTTAGGGGGCTAAGAGCATTAAATAAATTAATATATACAAAAATGACTGATACTAGTGCACAGACTTCATCTGCGCTATAGTTGCTGTTTTATGATAACTGATGTCACAGTAATTTAGAACCCTAACAGTTGGAGAAAAGAATGGCAACAGCAGTACTTACTAGGGACTAGGCATTATTCTAAAGATTTACGTCTGTTAACTCATTTAATATACACAGCAACTTCTTGTTCTATAACTTTTCCAAGGTCCCAGAGCTAGTAAGCGGGAGAGCTGGCATTTAAGTCCAGGCAGTTCAGGTCCAGAGGTTGTGCTCTTCCACATGTGCTATTCAAACTCTGTGAATTGAGAGGGTAACCCAGAAGTCAGGTGGTTAAATTGTAGGTGGTATACATTCCTACTGATCTATTCCAACTAATTCTAACCTACTTTAGTATTCACATTACATTTTCAAATAAGACCTTTTTAAACTTTTGGTATTTTTAACTTTGCTAATCAAATTACTAAAATTGATCTGAGTCTTCAAGTGGCATATCAGTTATATTCGAAGATACAACTTTTTGTGTTAAGATAGAAATGGTACATCTTTTTAAATTTTCTGGTGAGAAATCATTTTTTGTGTGTTTTTTATATCTTCTATTTTAGGTAACTCAGCAGTTGAAGGCTCGATTCTTACCAAGTCCAGTTGTTATTAAGAAACGTATTGAAGGACTTATTGAAAGAGAATACTTGGCACGAACACCTGAGGATCGCAAAGTATACACATATGTAGCATAAAATGCGTTCAGAAATTTGATTTATTGGACTGTACTCTTCGCATGGACTTGGAAGTTCTTTTAAGTAATTAAATATTAAGACAACCATCTCTTCTAGTAAATTACAGTACATGTTCTAGACCATTCAGATCAAGCCTTTACTCCCTTTGAGAGTTTTCAACGTCAATTGATTGAGCTACAGGCTTTACGACGTTTATCCCTGTAGAGATCATCTTTACAGTTCCTCGGGAAAATGTGAATGTGCCGCGTTTTGTTTTCAATACTGTATGAAAACAGGAAAAAAATAAAACAAATTTAGAAAATACAGCTCATTAAAATAAAATTGTTGGATTTCATTTCCCCAGGTCTTCAGTGTTGATGTAAATGTGTTTTTGTAGTGTTGCTTAGCACTTTGCGCATTGTATAAGTTGGGTAACAAAAATGGTAAAAGAAATGACACAATTCCCAATTATCTTGCTCTGCTTAAGGCATTTCTTTAGCTAGTCTTGTTTAATTTAAAGGTTTGATAAATATACAAAGACCCAAGCATACAATTTGAGCATGCTTTTATCCTACCACTTGCACTTACTAATCTTACCGCCTTATGACCAGGAACCTTTGTTTTGGGCTCAATACGCACCCTGATTTGTTTTTTCCCTATTGTAATTTGAGATTTCCCAAATTGAGTTTTATAATGATTAGGTTTTGTTCTGCATTATCTCTAGAGAAAGAAAATATTTTAGTATGTATAAATTGTACAATAATTTTTTGCTGTTGTACTCACTGCTAATAGTGGATTGTATAGGGCAGTGTTTTTATTTCGTTTATTGTTGACAGAAATAAATGAAGTTAGCATACACATACCCACTAATTCAAGTATGTCAGAGCACAACATTGGCAGCTGGTTATATTTAATTCAGCCCCTTTGAAAAGCACACATAGTCTACACTTTGTTTATAAAATATCGTCGGTTTCCCCTCTCTTAAATATATATATTTTGGTGAAGCTGAGGTGCATGTTAATTTTCTGTTTCAAAATGCATTTTAAAGATGCAATAAATATGATTACCTTGATATTTTTTAACAAGATCTTCGGTTCTTGCAGCTAACTCTGTTTTGGAAAGTGATTAAGCAATATTTTTCAAACCTGATGATTCTTGGATATTTAGCTCTTGTCCTCCAAAAAGTCATCGTTTCATGTTTTCAAAGATGTGCTTTGTGCTGAAGATTTGTGTCAGTTACCCTGTGCTTCCAACTTTCACCAATGTTTCTTACCTGATTGATCTGCCAAGGACTGTAGTTTGCTTTATTTTTAATAACTTCAGAGTATTTTTATCTTCAATTTTATTTAATTTTGTCTCATTTTGTTTTCATAAGACATTGTTTCAGATATGTAATTGGGGCAAACCACTATAGATTTCTATTGGATAGAAAAATGAAATGTTATTAATAAGTTCCAATAACTGACCCTTTGTTGACTATCAATACTGTTGATACATTTATTAGACTGTATGTCTCAGAAGATGGTTTCTGTTTAAATTTATGGTCAAGTTACAATAACCGAATTCTAATATGGATTAAAAACTCCACATAAATCTTTTCCCCCATGCGTCCTGGGTTATAATTTTCCTTTTAGACTTGCAAATATGCTTTGACTGCATTTAATTTTGCCTTTATTTGTACTATAGAATTATAAACCTTATGCTCTTAATCTCTACATTTTCCACTTTTACATGATGCGATTAAGATACAAACAAAAACTATCATGAACGTTATTCTCAGGATACTCTCACCATACTTGAGCTATAGTAGGTCAGGTATAACGTGGAAAGCTGTGAAGGGTTTCACTTCTGATTTTTACATAATTGGAACTTCTGTAACAAATCTACAGGAAGATACTGGTATTTCAGGTTTCAGAATTGCTCTCAATTCCCAATTAAGTAATATGTAACACTTTGGGGATTAGAGTAACTTAGATTGTCACGTTAATAAATATGAAGGATGTAAAAACTTCATTTGAAATCTAAATGAGACAGTAAAAGAAAATTTAAGTTCTAGTTTAAAGTATTAAAAGTCAGTAAAGTGAAATTTATGTCATTGTCTCAAGTGTGGACATTACAAATCATATCTAGAGTTTAGAGACATACTTTGTTTTGGAGCACAGGTTTGGTGTTTATGTTTTAAAGGCTTATAATGCAATTTCTGAATTGTGGTTGGGTTGAATGGTTGGAGAATGCAACCATTTACACTCAGTTGCATTTCAGTCAATTGCAGTTTAGTTGAATGATTGGAGAATGAAACTGCATTGAAAGACAAAACTGGTTCACCTAACAGGCTTGTGTGTTAGCTCATGAGTATTATTTAAGCTCATACTGATACATTTTGACGTTGCTTTCTTTTCAGCAAGAAGTCATTTATGTTATTTTTTTAATGTCTTAATTTCAAGGATTAATACATCCTTACCATTTATTTAATCCTGTTGATGTGAATAAATTTTGGTGACTTATACTTGAAGAATTTTAAGGAGGGTGGATATGTAGTTTTCCAACTGCAAAAATGATGTAATCTTTGTTCACTTGTTTAATTGTAATTCTCTGATATAAAATCCAGGACAGTGTTTACTTTGAATTGTTATATAGTTATATTATTTAAAGATTGAAAATTCATTGCAATTAGGGAGCAGCCTCACAAAATAAAATGTGGTTGTCATTGCAAGGATTCTTTATGTTGGTGAATTTTAAAAGGGGCTGGGGAAGGGATGCAAGTCTCTAAAGGATGTATTAGAATCACCTGTGTAGCATTGTGAACACAGACATGTTCCACCCCCAAACCTCAAGATGCCGATACACCTCAGTAAGAGTTCTTGTCATGGTAAAGCACTATTGACGTTCTGTTCCCTCAGTAACTTAATGAAGTTATCAAATTCCAATACTCAGATAAGAAAGTACAGTTCAAAGAATACATAAAACTTGATGTAGGAATTCTTACAGTGTGGAGATAATTAAAATTGCTAACTCTAAAAATTCTTTCTGCAATTGCGATACTTAATTGCCTCAGCACAATGTCTGGCATGTGGTGGGCGTAGGCGCTCAGTAAATCTCTGATGAATGTGCTTCATGATCACGGCATATCTTGGAAGAAAGTCTTAAAAGAATCAAACTTGATAAATTAACATTTGTACTGCATTATTAGGGGTATGACATAATGGCATAAGGATTTCTATTTTTACTTTTCTAAATGGGAATTATTTGATCTTTGGTTTTTGGCTAGCTAAAAAGTGGAAAATGTAGACCAACTGCTGGGTTGTTCCAGATGATATTAAATGGTAATTTTAAAGCTCTCTGAGTCACAACATCGTATGAAAACATTCAGACTTAGTGATAGAGAAATTCATTCGAGATCCCTCTCCTAGTTAATGGGGTGCAAGAATTTGGGCCAATTCTGATTGCAAAACCTGTGCGTTTAATGAGTGTTTGTGTATCTTCAGTTTTGACAGATTCTGGACAGACTATCAATGGAATTTGGATCTGAAAGTAAAATTTTTGGTGAGTATTTTGGTGAATGTTTGTTTTGATTAATTAGAAAGTATTCCTTGAAGAATTTGACATGGTGGAACCTTTATAGACCCTGAATGAGAGAAGGTTTTGTGATACTACCTGTGCATATTGGTGTGTATGGTACGTGGGGATTATTTTGTTTACAGAATTGATATATCTGTAGAATCAATTTTAACATTTATTTCCAATATGATGCTGTTCTCTGTATTAGAGAGTAACCACTAGACTGATTTTTTTAAATGGATGGAATTGTAGGTCGGAAGAAGCAAAGGTTAACCAGAGGACGTGGCATCAGGTGGGGGACAAAATCTGTGCTTTGTTCCGCTGCAGCCTTAGCAGTAGGCAACCAGTATGTGTAAGTATAAAACAGTGAGACTCTGCCAAAAACCTATTGCAGCTTCTGCATCTGAATGATAGGGAGCTGAGGAGGAAGTACCCTTTCAAAGTAAGAAAGTCTGTATATACTGTATTCATCACATTTCTGAAATTGCCCCCTGAAGATTGCCTGCAAAGCAATTTTGCAATACTAAGGAAAACATTCTTACTGTTTTTAAACCAAAATTAGTATTATCCAAATTTCTAATCAGGCATTTGTATTCACCAAACTGACTTGAACTGAATAAAAAATACTATCATCCATTCTCAAAGAAATGAAGGGTTGAACTTATTAAACTACTACAAGAGTGTCCTGTGGACTAAAAAGCTATTCCAAAAGAGTGGCAAGTGCCTGGGTGTTCTCAAACACCACGTTCCTGGGGAAGCTTCAGAGCAAAGCAGATGCCTCTTGTAGTTTTGATTTTGTAGGTCTGAGGTGATCTTTTGTGCAGCAGAATTGGAGGACCATTGCTTTAGATTAAAAAAGTATAACAAAGCATATAAACTCCCAATTTTACTAATTGGGAGAGGACATATACAAGTTGTGAGGTCTTCAACATCTTACATGCACTTAACTATGTCTCAGCTGGTTAAGGCAATATGTTGGTCAAGTCAGGAGGTTTGATTAAAAGTGTGGCAGTTAATGTTATGCTACATGTGGTCACAGATCACAGTGATAATCGCAACCAACCAATTGTCCCAATCCAACTGATTGGTGGGGAGGGGTGCTAATAGTGTCCTTACAGTCAAAGGGCAGCCTATGGTCTTAAAATTTTCATTAGGCAGTCCCACTGGGAGCAACTGAATTCAGAAACCGGTGTCCACAGCTCGGTGACCTCCATCCCATTAGTACAAGTGTAGTTAACATTGAAAGGGGTTCCAAGCAAAAAAGCAAGTGTCTATTGAACAGGTTGAGACTTTTCCCCCATTAGAACCTTTGCGAAGCAATTTAGTGAGATCTGGGGCACAAAACTTGGGCTGTTGGTGCTGCCAACTTGTAAGGTGATAAACAACTATGACCACAGTGTGGACTGTTAGTGTCATCCGAAAGGAGCCAAGTGTTTCCGGGGAGTTCAGTGTTTGGCTTCTTGATCGTCCACTTAATCTGAGAAGAAGTGATGCCCTTAAGACCATGATACAACTCCTTACTCTTGACTTTGGATTACTTTTCAGCAATAGGCTTTCATAGAGTTACCTATATTCTCCACTACTGGTAATTAAGCAAAATATGTAGTTTTAATTTTTTCCTCTTTAAAACATTTGAGAGCCATAAAAATAGCTCCCCTTTAAAATTGGTGCATGGATTAAGATCTAAGTGCATAAGGAAACCCATAAGCTCCTCGACAGAGAAACTAATTCTCAAGGTTGGTGAAGCAGGGAGAGCCCCCTTCCAGACTGGCTCTAAAAGGTACACTTTGGAGATTTCTCAGTTATTACTACTCTCACAACCTTGGTCACAGTAACAGCTGCTTCAGCCCAGGTGTGGATGCACAACCTGTTAATACTTGCTTCTCTCTATAACTTATTCTCCACAGGCTCAACTGTGAATCCAGTGGTAGATCTGGGTGACAAAGGCCATCACTGCTTCTGAGGGAGACATTTTCCTCTAGCTTCTAGAAGATTTGGAGCTTAGATTTACCAAAGCAGCAGCAGGTGGCATGCTCTTACTGTGCTGGCTCTTAGCATGATACCTATCAGCAAGTTCTCGGTCAGTGCAGACTTCATTCCATCTCATTAACAACGGCATTCATCTAGGAGACACTGTTAGGGCCTGCCCTTCTGTATAGCTAAGAGCCCTGCACATGAACCTGAACTATTGATTAGCCTTATCACATACTCAACAACTCACTGCCTAAAAACTGACTTATGCACTAAACCAGTTCAGACTGGTCTCCCCCCTGCTTTGAACTAGTGAAATGTAACTTCTTGAACTATAATGCTTAATTTCTGTTAACTTCCTATGGTCCTTGCTTAAATGTTCCCTTTTTCCTAATTTTGCAATCAATATGACCACAAAGTGGGTTATTAAAAGTTACAATAAATCACAA